TAACTATGAAAATGCTTGAGATAACCTGTGACCTGTCTCCTGGGCTGAAAATAACCTGCTAAATAAAATAAAATCAAGCATTCAATTGTTGGGCAAAATAAATGTTGAAGCCTCTGACACTCGCTGTTTAAACTCTTGCAAAAAAAGAGAACCCTGAGCCATAGAAACACCTTGATCCCATGCCTCGAGAATCCATGCCATGATATGTAGAAATGCAAAATGCAAAAAAACTCAAGCCAGTTATAGATAAAAACGATGAGATAAATTTTGGGGTGCTACACACCAGTAGTGTGCTGCTGCCTGTGACCTGCTTCGTTCTCCATCGACATCCATCTCTTAAATTAGAATATAGATAGGCCGGGAAAGTCATCCCCCAGTTGTACTCATAGATCTGTGTGAGATCAGGGAAGTATCGAAGGTATGAAACGTCAATATAGTTGGCACTCATGTCAATAAAAATACAAGTGTCAACCAAATAAAGAAAATATGCCCTCAAAGCAATAATCCTGTGTAAGGCCACCTGCTCGGCATCGCCATCATCCTGTTGTGCAGCAACAATCTCATCATCATATATCTTCTTCAGGAACTCAAACCTAGGATGGGCACCCCTGGTCCTATCCACCTCCTCAATCGCATCCCCTAGATCAGCCCCCAGATGCTCCATCATCATCTCGGCCGCCTTGTCTTTGGTCATCCTACCATGATGGAGGAATCTACCTCTGATCGGTAGATGCAACAAAGATGAGAAATTGTTCAGTGTGATAGGCATCTCACCATGCGGGAGATAAAAAAAAAGACGTCTCAAAAGGACATCTCTCCATGAATGCATTAAGCATCCCATGGTTGATCAGATTGTAACCAATCATGTATAGGTCATGCAACCTAAAAGCGGTAAGAACCGACTGAAACCACTGATCTTCCGGCTGATGCAGTGCTAAAATCTTCCTCCCACAGTTCAGAAACTTCTAAGAATCACGCACCTGCAATTTTCTAGAAATAATCAATGTCAATAATAATCAAACTTAGAAATCATAAATTTTAGCAATTTAGATTAACGTAAAAAAATAAATCGAAAATCAGACTAATGCAACCTCTTCGTGCCAAATATGTCTGGCAGTATGGTATGGATACAGAGGAAGTAAGGACATGTCAGATGGACCTCCTCTATATTCCAAGGGCTCGACATCCTCAACAACCACGCCCTCTAGAGGTGGCATTAGATCAACAGGATCATCAGCGGCAGGTGGTACCGGATCAGCAGGAGGTGGCACAGGTGCATCCTGAGGCATGCGAGAGGACGGAGGAAGTGAAGCGCTAGCTGGTGCATCCCATCTTCTACGGGAAGAAGAAGAAGGTGGGGTGTCTTGAGATGAAGATGGAGTGGCCTAAGATGAAGATGAAATGTCCTAAGATGCAGATGGAGTGGCCTGAGGTGAAGGCCGAGCCCCATGAGTAGAATATGCCCCCGAAGTTGACCCCTCTACCAGAACAAATGTACATGCACCCTCCAGAACATGTTGGTTCCGTTTACACCGAACAAATGCATGCTGGGAAACTCGTCTAAGTCTCAGTTTATCGGCTCTGTCAGCCATTATGTCTGCAAGGTAATATTATCCATATAGTTAGTTTACGCACAAGAACATCACATACAAGAAAATTAAAAGAAAACAAAACATACTGAGGAAATTATAGAGATTAATCAAAGTGAGGGATTTATTTTAAATTATAAAATTGGATAATCTTTTTGACTTAACTCGACTCATATTCTTGCATTTAGGCCTCATAATTATATTTTTAAATTTATTATTCGGGTTTTAGATTATAAATCTAAAACTATCTAGTTGGTATCATTTTTATTTTGATGTTCAATTCAATTTTTCGTTATCTATAATTTGATTTGTTATTACTTGTAATTTGAGTGTACTATATATTATTTTTTATCACATTAGAATGGTACCTTGAGTTACCCTCATATTCAATAATACATATTTTAATTTAAGTCAATGTGTTTTTAAAGTTTGAGTAAGTTGGTTAAAGTCAACATCTTGTGTGTGTTGTGAATCACAAGTTAGAGAACTAAATACAAAGTTTTTTGAAGCTTGATTCGAATCAAGTTTATGGCTTATTCATATCAAACATCAATTCGAATTTTGGATTTTGCGACTGTCCAGTTAATTCGAATCAAGGACATTATTGATTCCAATCACAACACTTTTTTAGTCGAATCACAAGGACTTTTGACTTGAATCATGACAATACACCATTTTTCCTAAACAACCATTATTTGAATCATACTTTTGTTTGACTTGAATCATGAGTTCAAGCTATGATTCAAGAAAATGGTAACTTTCTCTTTTTCCCACCTTGATTCAAGTCATTCTTTTTGGTGATTCAAATCGTAACTTCATGATTTTATTCAAATCATTTTGTTCTTTTCCTCACCTTTTTGTGTCTAACCCCTATCGCCTATGTAAATCCTTTTGTCTCAATTTTCCAAAGTGATGTTCATGTTGATATCTCAAAAAGAGAATAGATTCTTCCAGAGAAAGATCAAGTGATGATCTTCATAGAATGTTAATCTTATGAGATCTAAGTTGTATTGTATGAGATTATTTGGATAACCTTCACCATCTTCAACCTTGAACTAAGAAATCACTGTTGTGGTGACCAGCTCTAAAAATTGATTTTGAATGGTAGATATAAGGTACATTAGGGAAGTTAATGTTTTTTTTTAAAGTTATGTTGTGTTAATAAGGACAAAGAATCACTTTTTTTGTTTATGGTATCTAGAGATTGACATCCAACAAGACAAGTGTGAGATTTTGGGTCGAACTTTAGCTTTGTGAAAGAAATAGCTTTCATGGGGTTTCGGCAGAAGACAAGCATGAGTTGAAGTTGGGTCGCATGTTGTGGTCGAAGGATACATATTGTAGTAAAAATCTGTTCTAATATGTATTGTCGAAATGTTTGTCGAATTGGGCCTTGTGTTAACGATCTAATTGTTTAGTTAGCTTGTATTGTAAGTTAGCTAGTTAGTCTATAAATAGACTAGATCACTCAGGTTGTTGATTGAGGCCAGTTGTAATATTCATTTGTAATCATTTGTAAACCCTTATGAGAAAGTGAATAGTAAATAATTTGCCCTAATCTTTCTTCTTCTTTCTTCTTTATCCTTTCTTCTTTCTCTGTTTGTTATAACTGTTTCATTGTTCACCCAAGAACTCTATTTCTCAATCTTGATTTGTTGAAAGATATCGTATGTGATCATAACAAACTAGTGCGGTGAGCATGGAGAAGATACCGTCAATAAAGTTTGAAGTTGAGAAGTTCACCGGAGTTAATGATTTCGGTTTATGGCGTTTGAAGATGCGAGCTCTTCTTGTTCAACATGATTTTCTAGAAGCGTTAAAGGGATGAGATGACATGGATGTTGCCCTGACAGAGAAGGAAAATACAATGATGATCAAGAAATCCCACAGCTTAATTATTCTGAGTCTTGGTGATAAAGTTCTCAGGCAGGTCTCGAAGGAGAAGACGACGGCTGGTGTTTGGCTGAAACTCGAAGGATTATATATGACAAAATTCTTGGTGAATCTTTTATACTTGAAGTAGGTTTTGTATTCATTCAAGAGGACTGAAGATAAACTGTTGACGGAGCAAATGAATACGTTCAGCAAGCTGATTCTTGATCTTGAAAATATTGATGTTACCATCAATGATGAAGATCAAGCATTGTTATTGTTGTGTTCTTTACCTAAGTCACATGCTCACTTCAAAGAAACCCTCTTGTATGGAAGAGAGTCCGTGACCTTTGAAGAAGTTCAATCAGCCTTGTATTCGAAGGATTTGAACGAAAGAAATGAGCATAAACCATCATCATCAGTTGGCGCAGGGTTGCCTTGATGAACCTCTAATAGGCACTGCTCATGACACTTGAAAACTCAACACTTCTGCCTTAAACTTGAGTACAATAACTGAAAGAAACAAATTCTGAACAAAGGAAATCCACCTCATCAGACAACTTCTTATCCAAAATCCTAATTTACGAACCAGGAAGCTTCTGGAGTCAAACCCTGATTTGCAAGTGAAACAAAACAAACATAATCTGAAAACTTGATTACTTATACAATATGATTGACCTAGAATGCTTATGCAAAATATTATAACATCTAAGGGGTAAAATTTGGGGTATGACAACAATGAAAGAAAGAAAATTGAGTAAGAAAGAAATTAGGGTTTGACGGAAATTGGGAAAGAAGAATATGATTTCTGCAGAGTCTATATCTCCCCACAACCCGTGGAAAATCCCGCTAATTTTGCAACTGCAAGTGATTACAATATTGAATTCCAGAGCAGAGGTTACTCCCTCTATTTATAGTTGAGCTAGCTTGCTCTAAAGTTAAAAGCCAAAAATTACAAAAACCTAAAATATCTATTTCTGTCTAAGTCGAAATACTGTGTCAAATAACCTGCTTCGACACTTCGACATCTAATACTACTCGACACACACTACATGTTTTGACACATTGTTATTTATGTCGAACACTACCTGCTTCGATACAAGGAATTACAATCTCAACAAAAATGAGGTGAGTGTATAATGATTTATGTTTGAATAATTTTATACAAAATTGAGTTGAACACTATTGAAAAAAAATCTCAAGTTCCACATTGATTAAACATAAAACTTTAAAAATGTTTATATAAAGTGGACACTTCTCACCTTACAAGCCGATTTTACGATTTTGTAAAATTGAGTTAAGTCAAACACTAACAAACATTAAATTTCATTGTAAAACTTACATTTAATTTAATCACAAAAACTACAAATTCTAACTTCAACCAATCAATTTCAAAGGTTGAATCATTTGTAATTAAAAATTGCTTTTGACTCCAAAAAAAGAATTCAACCATATCATTAATCTAAAGAAAACGTATCCAAGTTGTATAGTTTATCTTGATAAAAAAACCATCTCTAAATTGAAGCTTCTATTAATGACTCACCTTTGGTGTCTAGTGAACAAATAAACTTGAATACAAGGAGAACCATTCCATACATTTGAATGCAACCTAAGAACACCTCTAGCTTTTTCCTTCAAATAACAAGCACAATCTGCCTGCATAACCATACAAAGTTTTGAAACACCACCAACCCTCAACATCTCTTGAACAAACTCATGTGTCCCACAATACTTAGAAATCAAACAAAATATCTGAAGAGCTCTATCATCAGTTGTTGAAGAAACCCTCAATGTTCTCTTAGAAACCACTGCTATCCCTCCTGCATGTCTCACAAACTGCTCTCTTCCATCAGCACACGAACACAAATCCGCAAGAAGCGTAAATATCAGCTCAGTTTGATTCTTCTCTTGTTTCTCAAATGCAAGATCAATGAGTTCCGTCACCGCTTCAGCTTCCACGATCTTCATTCGGTTTCTACCTAAAGGACATGTTTGTAATAACACATGCAATGCAGATTTTATAGCTTGTTTAGAAAGTTCTTTGTTTCTGATTCTAAGTAGTTTCACTATTTCTCTAAAGAATTCAACGTTTAGATTCAACAAAGAGTTTGAACTTTTTGCCTCAAGAACAAGTTTCAATACAAGCATTGCTTCGTTTATTACCTTGAAGTTTTTGTTATCAATGTGAAGTTGTAAAATCAAAGTCAAAGAGTTGACTAAGTCAAACTTGTCATCAACTATGTTGTTCTTGTCATTGGTTATGGCTAAAGGCCAAAGTAAACGAAGAATTCTCAAAGCTTCTTCAAGAGATATTGTTTTACCTTGCTTGAAAACGCTCTTTATAATCACTTTTTGAATAATCGCTTTTGCAACTCCTGCTTCAACCATGCATGTTCGGTTTCCTTCGTCTTCTAAAGCAAGAACGTGTAGTTTTTCTATTGCCTCTTGATCAAGATTCTTAACAAGTTTTTCAAATTCGGACTTGTCGATTTTCGAGGAAGGTGAATTTGTTGAGTGCCATGATTGGATTAATCTCTGAAGAGTGTGGTTTGGTGTTAAGAACTCTGAGCTTCTTGGCAAGGGCTGTTTGGTAATTGGACATGTGCAGTTTTTTGATGTGAGTAACCAGTGTTCGATGCTTTCTCTGTTGTATGTTATTCCTGTGATTGTTGTAACTGGTTCCTTCATGATTTGAAGTGAAATAGGACAAATAAAAAATTGTGGAATTTCGGTTTCACTCATTCTTTTGGATGAAGTGTGAGAAATCGTGGAGATGAAAAGGGCTTGGTTCTGTTAGTAAGAGAAATGGACTATATGTATAAATATTGAGGAATCAAAGAATAATCAATGATAACCGAGTATTAAATAAGTAGATTGTGTAACTGTGTACCTTTCAATTTCTAGCAAGAAAATAATTTTATAATATTTAAAAACAGAATATATATATATATATATATATATATATATATATATATATATATATATATATATATATATATATATATATATATATATATATATATATATATATATATATATATATATATATATATATATATAAAAGGAACAGAGAACATATCCTATGAAAATATCATTTTTACGTGAGAACATGAGAATAAATCTGAACCATTAGATTTTAAAATAAATTGTGGAGATTATGTGTCAGTGTTTTTTTCTCTCCTCCATCATTTATTTTAATATTCTCACGCAAAAAAAATGACATTCTCATATGATATGTTTTATATATATATATATATATATATATATATATATATATATATATATATATATATATATATATATATATATATATATATATATATATATATATATATATATATATATATATATATATATATATATATATATATATATATATATATATATATATATATATATATATATATATATATATATATATATATATATATATATATATATATATATATATATATATATATATATATATATATATATATATATATAACGTATCATATGAGAATGTTATTTTTATGTGATCACATGGTAATGAATTTGAATCATTAGATTTTAAAATAATTGGAGGAGATTATGTTTTAGTTTTCTCTCTCTCCTTCATCATCTATTTTAATAATGAAGGAGAGAGAAAAATATAAGACACACATAATCTTCACCATTTATTTTAAAATATAATGATTCAGATTTATTTTTATGTTCTCACATAAAAATAACATTTTCATAGTGTATATATAATCCACGTGCATTTGTATCATACCACATTACATATACTTTAGTGGAACACTCCCTGAGTTAAAGACTCACCCTAAACAAGTGAGAGAAATACCACCACTAGAGCAAAAATCTCGCCAAAGTCAACACCTTCCAGTTGTTTAAAACCCTTTATGAGCAAACATCTTCTTTGAATATTACATTCATCTTACTTAATCTGATAAACCCATTTATTCTTCAATGTTCTCTTATCCGATGACAATTTACTAACTCAAAGGTATTATTCTCACGAAGTGATTGAATTTCATCATACATGGCATCCATCAACTCCTTTTTATTTTCATCCTCCAAAACTTCTCTAAAGTTTTCGAGTTCTCCACCATCGATAAGAAAAACATATGTGTTCGAGGGGTATCAAACGAAACATCTTTTATCACGACTAGATCTCCTTAACTCATTAGAAGCAATCAGTTACTCAACACTTTCAACCTCTTTATCAACCTCATTTTCAACAACGTCTTCCATAGCTCCTACATAAAAAATATCATTAGGATTTAAAACATTATCAACATTCAAATTCGTATCTTGATTTTCAATTGAAACATCTCCGAAAGAGATAGAGGTAAGAGCAATAGTAGTTGAATCCATATTAACCATTTCTTCTTCTTCAAAAGTCGGATTTTTATTCTCAACTTTGTCAATGTCCTGTAAGTTCAGAGTATGCCTAAGAGGAGGGGGGGTGAATTAGGCTTAAGAAACTTTTTCCGGTTTTTCGATATTCTTGAATTTTACTTGGTTATGATCTTGATGATGAAAGCAGTAAAAGCAGAACGAAAAATGGACACAAAGATTTATAGTGGTTCCCTTCACAATCCGAAGGTACTTCACTCCCCTTTCCACATGAAAGAGAGTTTTCACTATAGTTTTAGAATGTACAACCTATGACACCATCAACAGGTGAAGCCTACTATCTAACAACTATTTCAACAATTTAGTGAGCACGAACAATCCTCTTGCAAGCACTAACCCTTGTGTCCAACAATCCTTGATCACAAGTCACACAGAAATAATTCTTATAATTTTGTAATTTGAGAGTGATACAATAATAATATCAATACAAAGATTGATCTTCTCCTTTTGATCAAAATTCACTTTTCAATATCAATACAAGTGTTCAAAAATTCTGGATATGAAATGGTATGAACAATATGAACACTTTTTGAAAATATTTGAAAAGTAGTGAATTTGATTCAATGATTATTTTAAAAATTATTGGAGGTGTTTTTCAATTTGAAATTTCCAGAATTTATGAGTCAAAACATCATTTCAAAAAGGTATAAATGAGTATGAATCAAATAATGAAAAGGTATAATATTCAAACAAAATTTGAATTTAAAAAGAAATAATTTTTCAAAATTTGTTCAGTGTTAATCGGTTAACCATATAGGTTAATCGGTTAACACTTGAACGTTAGCCCTGAGAATTCAAAATTTAATGTCGTTAACCGATTAACCCATATGGTTAATTGGTTAACACTGTTAAAACTCAGAAAAATACTTGAGTTAAAAAGTGTTATACCAATTCAAATGATTTTAAAAACATGCAAATGAAAAATATTAATATGATAAATTATTTGAACACTTGTATATCAATTAAAGAAGTGAATATTGATATACCGAAGCTTGAGTCCAAATCTTGAAAGTTGAATGATCATTTGCACAAGATGCTTGATTTGCCTGACAACATTCCATAGTCTTGATCTTGATCAGTTTTGAAAGCTTTGACTTTTTGCAATCATGTAATGAGCTTAGGTCTTTGTTGACATCATCAAAACCTTAAGATTGAAGTGTGCTTCTACATGTCCTTAATGGTATAATCCTCTATGAATATGACATCACAACTACGAATAAGGTTTCATTGAACCGGGTCAAAGAATTGATACCCAAACTTATCAAGTACATACCCAACAAACACACATTTCTTCGACTTCTCATCCAATTTTGATATCTCATCCTTCATAATATGTACATAAGTCTCGCACCTTGATACCCAAAGATGGTCGTAGGAAACATCTTTACCACTCCAAATATGATTAGGAACATCAAACTTCAATGGAACACGTGGAATGAGATTTAAAAGATGTACAATCGTGCTCAATGCTTCTCTCCAAAAGTATTTCAGAAACTTTGATTGAGATAGTAAACATCTCACCCTTTCCACCAAAGTTATATTCATTCTTTCGTCTAAAACATTAAATTTTGGTGTCTTTGGAGGAGACTTTTGATGACGTATACCTTGATTTTGACAATAATTATCAAAAGGTCCAACATAGTCTCCCCCGTTATAGGTTCGGATGCACTTTGTAACACCCTTGTTCTACCCCACAGATATTACGGCAAAATAACACGGATTTCAGAGTAAAATATTAACTTTTATAAAAAGCCACAAAAGGGCGTACATTTCTCAATGTCAACAAAATTGGTCAATACTCCGTAACACACGGGTTTTCTCAAAATACATCAAAACATCATATACAGCGGAACCCAAAACATAACTCAATGTTTTCCTCATAAGGGAACATCAGTAAAATAACTCAATGATATACAATCAACTCAAAGAACCCAACCCGATGTTATATATCAGAGCAAGACCCTCTACATTAACCATAAAGGCTAACGACTCTAAAACTTCACAATACTCCTCGACGGCGTCCACGGATAAACTTGCTCATCTGCACGTTACCCACGTGGAGGTAACATTCAAACAGGCAGGGTGAGTAAGACAATTCATAATAATCAATGTATAACAATTAATGCATAAACGGCATATTACTCATAGTTATATTCAACACATTGATATCCTTCAATTATGCCTCAAAGGCCACAACGTCATAATTTATACACAAAGGCTCATAAATGCAAATGCAACATAGACCCAATGCATGCAGTACCAATCATCACAATGCGATGGACATTGGGCCATCAACCCTCCATAGATCCCCATCAATAGGATCCGAGCACATCAAAATACTTCACATCCACACAGTGGGATTGAAGCCAAAGTAATTGAGGTCCTGAACCGAAGTCCGGATGCACATGAATGCATGATGCACACTTCACAATAATCCTCATAATAACAACATATGATGCATCATCATTCATCATATTCATCATCATTACACGTCATATCTCATCGTCATATTCATCATCATAAATCATGTCATCATAGCTCATCGTAACAATCATCATCATACATCATGTTATCATATCTCATCACAGTAATCATCATTATACAACATATCATCATATTTCATCACATTAATCATCATACAACATATCATCATAATTCATCATATTATTCATCATACAACATATCATCATAGTCCATCATATTAATTAATCTCACACATCATGTCATCATATAATCACGTATAAATCACATATTAGCTCATAGTCATATTATCCCATATTACCCCATATTAATTCATAGTACTACCCTCATATCATCTCATATTAATTCATCAATTTATACTCACGGTAATCCCCACACTATCGCCTATCAATCACATAAACTCTACAGTTCTACTCATGTTAATTCGTCATATCATCATATAGTATTCACATATTAATCCCTAATATCATCTTACATTGCCTCATATTAATTCATCACAATTACACTCGCGGTAATTCTCAATACTATCACTTATTACTCACGCAACCTCACTGTCATACTCATAGTAACTCATCACAGGAATCCCAGAATCAAACATCATGGCATCGCTGCACACGATCAACATTTGCGAACTCTGCTACGCTCGCTGGCTTGCTTGCTAGGCGAGCCTGTAGCGAATGCTCGCTAGGAGAGTCTGTAGCGATTGTTCTCCAGCTTGCTCGCTAGGCGAACAGCGCGATAGCAACACAATCTTCTACGATTAGACCTGCTCTCTATCCAAAATACTCATACGATTCATATACCCAATGCTCCTAAAACATCCCCAAAACATCTCTAAGGTCATACGACGATAACGGCACAAC